TCAATTGCTTGACTCAATGTTTGAGGATCAGGTAAATTAAGCATCAATTTCTTTACCTCATATTGTAATCCGTAGAGAAATTGACTCACAAGTGCAGCATCATCCCACTTGATATCAGTTGCAAGTTGTCGAAATTGCGAAGCATATAATGTTACTGATCGATTGCCTTGTCGCAAAATACGGATCTTGTTGGTTGCAACACGAATTGCATCATGTTCTCCAAACATGGATCGAAACTCCGCCAAAAAAGCCTCCAGATTATCCAATATTGGATCTCGTCGTTCAAGAAAAGATGAAAACCATGACAATGCTGAACCTGAAAGAAGTGTACCAATGAATCTTACTTGTGACCCTGGAGTTGGATAGCTCTGGGGTTGAAGTTCAATCACTAGTTGGACCTGATTGATGAATCTTCGAAACTTGGATCTGGTACCATCAAACTTCTCGGGCAAGGCAACTCTCGGTTCTCTAACACTCGAAGGGTGTTCCATTCTGGGAGAAGGGACATGGTTTGGTGCAGATGTTGAAGCAGCCCCAATCATCTCTATATCTTCACTTCCTACCATTCTTGTTGCTCCTTGTGGTGGTAAATTGAGTTGATGCATCGCAAGCATTAACTCCCTCAATTGTTCTTGCATCTGTGCCATTGCACTCTTCATTTCAACAAGCTCTGCCATAGTAGCACTTAGAAAAGAGAAGATGTCTAACAACGCTCAAAACAAATAGAAGAGAGGAATTGATAACAAAGAAAATACAAAGAACAATATCAGTTTAAAAGAGGGTAATCCGCAACTTCTAATGCGCTTATGTCTTATCAAGAAAAAGGGGTAATCCACTCTTAATCAAGAAAAGACAAAGCTCTGATATTGTAAGTGTACTCTTGTCAATCTGTCAGGGACAAGAACTCGATGAAAGCTAAAGAGTAAGTGAGACTTTTCTCAAAAAGAAATAGGACAAAATAAAAATATGTATATTAAGAAAGAAACTGGAATGGCTATTGCCAAAATATAAGAAAACTAGAGACCCTTGAAACTAGACTAGAAGCAAGAAAGGAGTTGACAAGAGTGAAGAGGGCTTCACTCTTGCCTCTATATATACTATCTAACTAGAAGCCACGTGGCGATGTTCTATAAGACCTCCAATATATGTTGACTTTCTAGGCCACATGCCTTTGCTTGCAAGGTAAGTTTTCTATGGATGGACCACGTAGTTAGCTTGTTCTTTAAGCTTCCAACATGCGTGGCACATGGCTAACTTGTTGACCAAGTTTTTAACCTAAAAGTCAACTATAGACTCCTATAAAGTCAAAGCAGCATCTATGAAGCTTCTAAGAAGCTTCTCTAGAAGATATTACACAATTAACCTACTTTTACATACTTTTATCTATTCATATAGGTAATTATATGTATGTCCGTGACAATGGCTAGGAGTATGCTTCATGCTCAAAAACTGGAGTGAGTATTGGACGGAAGCTGTGGTAAATGCCGTGTATACAAGAAATAGGTGTCCCACAAGTACACTTGAAGGAATGACTCCCCAAGAAGCTTGGACTGGTAAGAAACCTTGCATATCTCACATAAGGATTTTTGGATGCATTGCATATGCCAAGGTTCCAGATAGTATGAGAGGCAAACTTGATGCAAAAGGCACAAGATATATATTCTTTGGTTATTGTGAAGGCACCAAGGCATATAGACTCATGTGTTTAGATACCAAAAAGATCATCAAAAGTCGTGATGTAGAGTTCTCGGAGCATAAGAGTGGTAGTGAAAAGTGGGAGATGTGTCCAAGTGGGAGTAGTGGTGTGTTTGTGGACACATCTTCAACTCCAACAAACAAATAAGAAGATGAAGAAGAACATTCTCAAAGTGAAGATATAGATGAAGAAGAGCCCAACACTATGAAGAGTTGTATTCCAGCAAGATACAACAAAGACAATGAAGAGAATGAAGATGAAGAATACCAACCCAAGGAGTGAGAGAAGGAACTCCATGAGCCATACAAGGCAGCACGAGGTGCATGAAGGCTCATCTTCTTTGCATGAAAGAAGATATCCAACACGTGAAAGAAGACCACAAGGTGAATGGTGGAAGAATCACATCTTTCCATAAGTAAGTGAAGACCATGCCAATGTTGCTCTTCTTGATGATCCATTGACTTTGTGTGATGCAATGAGGTGTGGTGATGCAATGAAGTGGGAGAGTGCCATGCAAGAAGAGTACAAATCTCTTATAGACAATGCAACATGGAAGTTGACTACACTTCCACCAAATCGTTCAGCAATTGGATGTAAGTAGGTGTTTAGAACCAAAAGAGATGCTATGGGCAATATTGTGAGGTACAAGGCAAGATTGGTTGCCAAAGGCTACTCACAAGTTGCTGGAGTGGACTTTAATGAGATATTTGCACTCGTGGCCAAGTTCACCACCATTAGAACCATTGTAGCAATTGGAGCAGCAATGGACCTTGAGATGTACCAAATGGACGTCAAGACAACATTCTTGAATGGAAAATTGGAAGAAGACATCTACATGGAGCAACCCTAAAGATTCATTGAACAAGACAAACACAACCTTGTTTGCAAGTTGAAGAAGTCATTGTATGGACTCAAACAATCACCAAGAGCATGGTACCAACGTATTGACTCATTCTTTGTGAATGAAGGTTTTGTAAGGAGTGAAGCTGACCATTCTTTGTATGTGTTGCAAGTCAAAGACTTCTTGCTGGTTGTGATTCTCTATGTAGATGATTTAATCATCTTAAGCAACACAATGGTAAGATTGGATTGGTTGAAGAAGAAATTAGAGAGAGAATTTGAGATGAGTGATTTGGGAGAGCTCCACTATTGTTTGGGTGTAGAATTCACAAGAAATAGAGTGTCAAAGACCATCACATTGAGCCAAAGTAAGTACATTGAAGAAGTGTTGAAACGATTCAACATGGGAGATTGCAAGCCCATTGGAACCCCTTTGGAGGCCAACTTCAAGTTGTTGAAGCTCACGGATGAGGAATATGCTGAAGTGGAGCATGAAATGCAAGGCATACCATACAAAGCAGCAGTAGGCTCACTCATGTATGCAATGGTGGGCACAAGGATGGATCTTGCATTTGCAGTAAGTGTGGTAAGCCAACACATGGCAAAACCAGGTCCTATGCATTGGGCAACCATCAAGAGAATCATGAGGTACTTAAAAGGCTCTTTGAACCTCAAATTATGTCTTGGAGGAGATAGTATTGCATTACATGGATATTGTGATGCGGATTGGGCTGGAGATGCAAATGATAGAAGGTCAACAACGGGCTATGTGTTCTTTGTTGGAGTGGGAGCCATATCTTGGAATTGTAAGAAACAACCAACCATTGCAAGGTCCACAATGGAGGCGGAGTACATGGCAGCAAGTCATGGAGCAATAGAGGCAATTTGGTTGAGGTTGTTATTGGAAGATATTGGACTTATGCAATTGGAGGCCACTCCATTGAGGTGTGACAATCAAGGATGTCTTGCTTTTGCAAAGAATCCAAAGCATCATGCAAGAACCAAGCACATTGATATTCAGCATCATTTCATAAGAGAGAAGATAGAGATGGGGGTTATTGATATGATGTATTGTGAAACCAAAGGCATGTTGGCTGATTTGTTGACAAAAGCCTTGGTCAGAGAAAGACACAACATGTTGGGTAAGGCATTAGGATTGATAGGTAATTGACCAATAGCAAAGTGGGAGTATTGAAAGAAAGTACTCTTCAAGTAGTTGCTAATGGTCAAATAGAATATATGTATTGTTAGGGATATCCCATAATGTTAGTTGCTGGTCCATAGTGCCTTAGAGTACAAGGGTAGGGCTGGTCCTAGGTGATATCCCATATGGGTTGTAACACTTGGTACCTTGATACAAGAATATAAGCAAGAGGTTGGAATGAAAAGAATTATCTCATACCACACTTGATTTGTGAAGTGCAACCTTGTTGGTCCTAACTTGCTTGTGTGGAGTTTAATTTCTATGTTTCAATAAAAAGGCTTATAAAATATATATATATATATATATATATATATATATATATATTTAGATTTGAATCTTTAGAGTAACTTAAAATTTATACCATATAGATCTTATAGATGAGTTTGTAACAAAAATTTGTGAACATTATATAAAATTATTTAAATAAATGTATTAATCATATTAATAAAAAAATAATTATTTCTATTATCTATTTTTAGAAGGATATACTCAAGGCAAATTTTACATAATTGACAACAAAGCAATTCAATTGCAATAATTTAAAGTATCTCTAATATGATTCTATTATAGCCTCTATGTTGCCACCAATTTGCACAATCTTTGTAAAGGTTTTGAGAAGACTTTGCTACATCATGCTGCAAGTTAACTGCGCTATTCTTCTGTACAACCCTGAAGTATGATAAATCATAAAAACCTAACTTATCCCTTCTCCATTATCTAGGCTAAAAACCCATTTGATTTGTATGGCACTAACTCCACCATACAAAACAAAAAAACCAAGTATAATTGTATTAAGAAAATATATTCTATACATGGAAGAGGGACATCCTAATGAGGAACAACTCAATGAGAGGTAACCCAAGTTGGGCATGTCAATAGAGAACAACCTACTTGTCTATCGACTTAGATGAATCATCTATTATTCGTCTTTAAACAGATCAGTTTACCATCCCAATTTGGATGGAGTTTTGCAAAACCAAAAAAACGTATGCTAAAAAATTTCTATCAAGGTAAAGATTATCTCAACACTTAACTAAAAAAGTTGATTTTACTTTTCACTCACGAACAGAAGAATCCCAAAATTTCATTTAGCAATCAATTAATTAGCTAGTTATCTCTAATTACCCCGTAAAACAGCCTACTTTCTACACGAACTGGTTCATGAAAAGCTTGAAATACCCGGACCCGCCGCCTTCTCACCGGGACCCGGATCAAAGCACCATATCCATCCCTCAATAACCGCTCCCGGTGAAGTTCTCCGTCGGCTTCAAACTCTGTCTCAGGTTGTCATCAAAGGCGGAGTTTTCGAAGGATTGCTCGAGAGCGGAGCGATCCAGCAGCAGGGCTGTGCAGTGAATTCCAACGAGGAGGATCAGAGCACAGGTCAAGGGCGAGCACCATGATTCTCGCGGCTTTGATCATGAACACACAAGGGAAGCCCAGGATCACCAAATTCTACGACCATGTGGTGCGCATCTGTATCTTTCGCTCTTGAGTTTACGAGGTTTTCTGCAGATTTTGATGCTCTGGGCATTTTTTGATGTTATGTCTGATGGCCACCCTCCTACTAGTCAATCGACATTGCTAATTTTCAAGTAACGTTGCATTTACGTCGTGAATTCGCACGATGTGATCATATTTAGCTTTTTGGGGAGAAGTGATGTTGTGTTTGTATAATGATCGGTTCATATGGCGTGATGACAGAGTGTGGAGCGGCAGCAAGAAATTCTGCGTGTGGTCTATTCAGGTGAGATTGCATGTTGAAAATTTTGGGTAGTTCTCATGTTATTCGGAGTAGCGATGTTTTACTTGCGGACGCTTTTCGATGTTGGAAGTATTGGCTTTTAGGTCAAGGAAACAGAGGGTTATTTATTTGGATAATCATGTTCGTTCGTGTCGGGGTGTTTTGCAGTCTTATCCAGCAGATCGGGCAACCTGTGCAGCTTTGTAGAAGCTGATGACATCTTTGGACCTGTGAGTTTTTCTCATACTCATATTTTGGTCGTCACCATCTTTTTCCTCCTTTTGATGATGCCGCCGAAGCTATTTGAGATTGTGCGTCTGTTAGTATTGTAAGACTACTGAGCAAGTGATGATCATATGTCAGGATACGAAGTTAGTCTACAAGCATTTTGCCACCCTCTACTTTGTGTTTGTCATAGACAGTGCCGAAAGCGAGCTGGGAATCCTCGACCTAATTCAAGGTATGTTTTCTGAAGAGAGATTCTAATTCTACCTTACCTTGTTATCCTACTAGTACTAAATGCATTTGAAGCTAGGATCAGAGGAAAAGCTATTAATCTATGATTTTTTTAGCCCAAATCTGCTTGTCAATCTTTTCAGCGAAGTGTTCTTCTGGAACTTTGCAGTGTTTGTAGAGACATTGGACCGATGTTTCAAGAATGTCTGTGAGCTTGATATAGTTTACAACTTCGGCAAGGTAAGAACTTTCTCAGTTAGAACTTGGTTTTGATCATCACAAACAATGAGAAATGCCACTTCAATTCACCAGCAATAGACTTGATGAAGTATGGATAGCGCGTAACCAAATTTTTCGACTCCACTTCAGGATTGGTGGAATCTTGTATGAAGACTAATAAATGTGTGCATGTGTGTGTCTTTACGGTGCATATGCCATGATGATCTTCTTTTCAGTCTCAATCGTTTCTGTGTTACATCGTGCCTAAGTTATATCACTATTCAATATTTGTGTCTTAGTTAGTTACGTTAACCCTTCTACTTTTGAATGTGTCAGGTGCACACAATCCTGGATGAGATTGTTATGGGTGGTCAGGTTGTGGAGACTAGCTCTGCAGAAGTCATGAAGGCCGTCCAGGATATATGGAAGTAAGCATCCATTTACAGTTGGTTGGAATATTACATTTACTGGATGTGCATGTCGGATACTAGTTGACAGTTTTATGCGCCGTCTGTTCTTGTTCTGTTTTGAGGGATTTTAGGAATAAATTGCTCTTTAATGTTGTCATCTATGGTTCAGGTTGGAGCGTGTAGGAGAATTGAACCCTGCCAACATTAGAGGAATCGGTCACTACAAAAACAGTCGGTCATGATACTGGAGGTACTGCATCGGAAGTGGACTTACTATGTACAATGCTGCTAGAATACGTCTCATTCTTACAAGTGTATATGGAGTCTGGTAAACCTGGTAATTGATGACACCGGCGAAGTTAATGAAAATGTAGCATATGTGCATTGCTGTCACTAGAGTTGGCTGTAATTACTCGATTTCAAGTTGAGAAAATTTTGATGTTGCTTAGTTTTGCATCCTCCATGCAGTACATTATTTTCGTATTTATTGGTTCCGTTACTCTGCTCATAATTATCTTCCAAGTAAGTGATGCAGCTCATAAGTATCTTCTAAGTATTGAGTAAACTCTACCTTCTAGCTTTTGGCCAGCTGAACTAGATATTAAATCGAAAAGAAGTGCTATTTGAACCGATGGTGCAAAGTTTCATGAAATCGTGGAGTTGCCATCATGTAAATTATAAATATTGCAGGTTACTCAGGTTATTGCTGCCCCGGCACCATTATTTCATCCAAACGATGAGATCAAAACAAGTTTCGTTCTTGCAATGAGCATTTCAACACCGCACATTCTCTTTTGGGACCAGTAACAAACTTGAGTATTCTTTCGTAATCTTAGAATAGTAACCGCGCGAACAAGCCAGTGTTTCTTGCAAGATTATTAGCATTCACATTCTGTGACCGAACCAATTAAATAATATACAATTGGGCCTTTTGCGGCGATGATTATAAAGCTGATATAGAAATACGGCCTTCTGGACCTGCTGATATTTTCACCGAGTCCTCTGATAACTGCATAATACTTATCACATTCTACTGTACTATAAGTTCGTGACCAACCTTGAAGACATCCTCTTCATTTTGCTGGGACAAACCAGAATCAAAACATCAGTTCCTGATCCGAAAACCAACGAATCCTTGTTGAAACGGCACCTCCGGCCTTAACTTTTCGCTACACTTAGAGTTGATGTTTGAACAGAATGCAAACCTCTGGTGCTGTGAACTCCGAAAGAGATGCATCACCTTTCTTACACCGAAGAAGCTTGATTCAATTTGTTCAGCTCTTCCAATCTCATAAACCCACTGCAAACCCCGAAAGATGTATTAGCTTTTAAGTGAATTATTAGAACAAATATCTGTCATGTATTTCGAGGTGAAATGGCTCCTTTTATGCCTACGAAAGCGACATCCTCTTGCTCAAAAAACTAGTCTGGTCCCGCCTAATATCCCCACTGCTTATAGCGTTTGGAATCAACCTAAATTCAAAGCAACATTCTTGGTAATACATGCTGCATAGATGTGTAAATTACAATTACCTTTTTATAAAAATTGACTGGTTCTCGCATTGGAAAGCTTTGTACAGGAAAACATCAGGCACCAAAAGTACCTCCAAGACGTGCTTGTCGTATGTCCTTGATCTGAGAGCGCCATAAAGGTTCAGGGCTGTTTCAAAGTAATAAAAAGACTATCATAAAATGAGGTGCAGCATATGTTAGCAATGGTATCTTGATTAGGGAATGTGTCGATGACATGACCAATATCAGCTTCACTAAGACCATCTTTCTTACACATTTGATTTACAGTGTCAACTAAATCAATTGATGACAGCCTACAATCGCAGTAACCACAATCAATAATAGAGAAGAAAGACAATAATCACTGTTGAGCTGCATGAAACGGGAGTCAGGAAAAGCAAGAATCAAAGAATCGAAGTTCTTCTCTCACCAGTAGAACTTGCCCATGCCTCGCACTAATTTACACTGAATCGTCTGATTCCAGCATCGAGTTCATTGATCATCAGGCAACTCATCCCCCCCCCCCCTGCAACAAACATGCAGACGTTGATTTTCAGCCATATGAAATGGATGTTGGGACGACCTTCACTATAGAGAACTAAATCCTGAACAGGCACCAAAATACGAAAGTTTGTTTTTGTACAGAGCATATACATAAATCAGAAATAAATAGGCAAATAATGGCTTCTGTTTTTTTCTTTTTTTTTTTATTTTTTATCTCAGACTAAAAGTGACGTGCTGCCTCACACTCAACAAAAGTTCAGAAACACCATCAATCTGCCAACATTGACGCGCGTAAACTCTCAGAAAATCACAAGCGACAGCTGTAAACTTTTAGTTCTCCAAGCAAACATTCCATATCTTTTAAAGACACTGCAGTTGAATTTTTTTTTTTAAAAATCCTCCGTAATCAATCTTAAGGGGGAGTGTGATGCTATTGTCAAATTAGTTGCTGTTATTAGTTCACTACCTGAAGATGGTTGACCTTAATCGAACTTCTTTCTTGAGAGTTCCATAAATGTTCACAAACTTTCTTGATAGTCATGTTATGTGGCAGGCATCCAAGCTCATGCGAACTCATCTCAATTATATCACGATTCTGATGAATACATTAACCGGTCTAGCCATCAAAAGGTATTTGGCTTGATGGAGACGATCCCCCACTCTGACTTCCAATCTGCCAGTTCAAACCAACAATTCTACAGTGTACTCCGTAATTTCTAATATAAAAAAGATGCCTTCAAAAATAAAATATAAAAATTTGCTAATTAGGTCAAAGGCAGGGCCATTCGCTGTTCCTCTTATTAGAGATGTGGGAAAACCGTACCCAAAATTTATGGACCTTTGTCGTCAATTTGTGCTCCCAAACAGTTCCGAATACACGTCGCTACATGAGACAACGGAACAACCACAAGACAAATTTCGCGCAGCGAATACGCAAAACTTCTCCTCCACGGAGCTGCTATCAGATCAGTTGCCGAGAAGTCATTTGAAATCTCTTCTTCATGCTAATGGGTAATTCAATGCAATCTACTTCTCCTGTCTTGCATGAACAATCAAGCCACGTGGGGTGTGCTTGTAACCGACAATATGTGCCACTAAGTTCTGCCTCTTCGTGCTACAGAAGAGAGGAAGTAATTGCTGGTGCTGTTGGATAAAACTCGTCCACATTCTCCCTACATTTTCACACCCATGGGCAAGGTTAGAATAGTGTTCAGTTTGCAGCACAAAATATGCTGCACATTCAATCTTGACCTTAAGCAGAGTAATGGCTTCACCAACATCTACGACAATTTCTTGACCATAGATATGAGACAATCATGAATAGGGTTTCTGAGGCGGGAATGTATCGAATTAGTACAATGGACGCGGAGGTGATGCAGTAATCCCCTGTAGTGTGCGCTAGGAGCGCGTTTCTCTCCTTGGCGACATTTGAAGGCAATGTGCTCTGCAACCGCCCTAAGTGGCACGATAAGACATCGCCGTCCGCGTAAACCAGATTGAATTGCTTTGGGTAGCTCTCTTTCTAGTCTCTGGCGTCCGTTACACTCTCATTTGCGTGGGTGTTGCCAGATAGGAAACCAAGTGATAGGCATGCACAGACTCCAGAGAATTTTCAACTGTGAGATTAGCGACATCCGTTGCAAATTGAGAGGTGACCAACGTAAAAACTGAGTTTCAGCAGTGGGTCGGGTGCTATTATCGCTGCCAATGCTTTTAGTTCAGGTCATTAACATCATTAACATTAATTCTAGTCGTCCGTTCATCTTTACCACCCGATAAAAGAGTGGTACTATCCCAGGACCCGTCGACGGATAAGGTCACAGCGTTGTGGAGTCTACAACAGTTAGGGCTGTTCTTTATCATTTACATTTCATCTGCTTCTTTGATTAACAGGTCGGGCCTGCACACGGACATGAGTAGATGGCGCTGCGTGCCTTGGGTTCGTTGAAGCTGGTGATCTGTAGCGGGGAATATTTGAATGGACGTGGGCAACGCGGAGGTGGCGATGCCGATATGGCGCTCGGAGGGAGTGTGGATGCTCCGTGACCAGGAGTCATCGTGTGGGGAGCTTGTGAAAAGAGATTTGCGTCCCCTATGAAAAAGCGCAAAAGACTGAATTGCGGTTCCATTTAATTCTGGCGAATAGATTTCATGAGGTCGTTTTGTGAAAGCTGTGTGTGGTGGCAGCCTCCCGCCTTTCCACCCAGGCGGGATGCAATATGGTTGTAGTTTTAAGGTTTGGGATTTGCTATGAAGACATGGACCGATATGGAATTGGCTACCACATTTCTTATGCGGTTTAGCAGTCGCAGCTAAATTGAGTGCAGTGCTTTCGCAGTAGAGGAATTTGAGGTTTTGGATTTCTGGAGCTTGATAGGAGGGCGATTGCCTTAGAGTTTAACAAGAGCTGCAGCGGCGACAAAGTGGATATCTTCACCCATGATTGCATGATGTGGGCGTGAAAAAGAGTGCACAGCAGAGTAGGCAGGATGGAGGCCGCCATGGCCTGCAATTTTATCAGCCCTCTTGAAGTAGAATCACTCGCTGCTAAATCGTCGTTCTGTAGCCGAAGCCCAATTCTGACTCGTTTTCCTGCTGGGGCTATTTCCAATGTCGGTTACCTGGATTCCACAATTCGCAAGGGAGACCGAGATTCTCACCTTCGTAACTCCTCCGCCTCCCGTTCTCGCCTGCCACCTTCGTCAGCGAAAGTTTCGAAGGAGAAGTACGTCGCTCCCAAACACACGGTACGAATTCAACCCCATTATCCGTTGCTGCAGAAACATTCAATCAATCCATCATGTAGGAAGTGTTTTGTTTTCTGTTTACTGTTCATTTTTGTTCTGGAGCATTTTGTGTATTCGAGTTCTCAGCTCAAGAATCTGACATAACCTATAATTCTATCAATTGTTAGGAGAGGACCGGGGACGACGATGCCAATTTGATCGAGGAAATGAGGGACTTATTGAAACAAAGACGAACTGATGAGGCTTGGCAGGTGATGCAATTACTCTCTAGATCAGGAAAGTTTCCCGACCGTCAGTGCACGAGTCGACTGGTTGCACAGCTCTCGCATCGCGGTGTGCCATCTTGCTTGGCGCGTGCGCAGCAAGTCCTTACTAACCTCAGAAAAAATAATCAAGTCGATTTATTGGACAGCGACTCTTTAGGTCTTCTGGCTCTGGCGTCTGCTCGTTCTGGCGCAGCTCGATACGCTTTGAACGTGCTTAATCTGATGTTCGAGATGGACATTTACCCGTCGGTGAAGGTGTGGAGTGCAGTTGTGAGCAGGTTAGGAAGGCATGTGGACGACTGCTTGCTAGCTCTGGAGCTCTTTGATGAAGTTTGCCGACTTATCGAAGAAGCAGAATCACAAGGAATAGATGTGAGGTCGGCTAGACCTGACACTGGCGCTTTCAATGCAGCTTTGAATGCGTGCGCGACGCTAGGATTTGCAGCCAAAGGCGAGGACCTCATGAATTCCATGCGCAGATGTGGCTTGCAGCCAGACAGCATTACTTTCAATACCTTGATTAAGCTGTACGCGAAATGTGACCAACGGAAGCTTCTCAAGAGCCTGCCAGACGAAATGGTGGAGAATAAGGTGATGCCAGATGAATCCACTGTGAATTCTCTAATTGCGGGTTACGTCGGGCTAGGGGATCTTCGTGAGGCGGAAGCGCTTCTAAGGAGATTGCAAGACAAGTCAGAACAGGGTAATGACTCCAAGACGAAATCCAAAAGCTGGTGGGGCGCCCACCTCCGCCCCGACGTTCGTACATACACAACTCTGATGAAGGGGTATGTACAGAAAGGGAGGAGAAGCGATGCAATGCGGACGTTGCTAGCTATGCAGATGGACAAGGACCCGAGGAGCTCCCCGAACGAGGTATCCTACACGACGGCTATCTCTTCGTGCGTCCGGCTGGGTCTTATGGATGAAGCGACCGTTGTGTTGCAGGAGATGCTGAAGCATAACATTCCTGTGAATGTAATCACGTACAACATCCTACTCAAGGGATACTGCAGCGCACGGAAGCTCCAGAAAGCGCACTCAGTCGTGAAGGATATGGAGGAGGCTGGAGTTGCTCTGGACGTTGTCTCATACAACACCCTTATCAATGGATGTATTGAAACGGGCGACAACGCGGCAGCATTGGATTACTTCAAGAAAATGCGGGAGACAGGAATTTCTCCCTCTGCGGTGAGTTACACCACTCTTATGAAGGCTTTCGGACGAAATGGTCAGCCAAAGCAGGTGCATCTCGTGTTTGAGGAGATGCGGAACGATCCCCGAATGAAGACGGATGCCGTCGCTTGGAACGTCCTCCTTGACAGCTACTGCAGGAATGGTCGCGTGGCAGACGCCAAACGGATGTTTCTTCAGATGAAGGAAGACAGGTACGCCTATGCATTTAGCTAATCCAGCTTCAATATATACCTTCCTTTACTTGAAGGAGAACACCTAGTTTATGAGATTGAGTTTTGATTCTGGTGTTAATGCAACTGCAGAGTGCTACCTACGGCGTTCACATACGCAACTCTGGTAAAAGGATACGCTCTGGGAGGCATGTTAGGCGAGGTCTTAGTCCTGTGGAAGGAGATCAAGGAGCGAACTGACGATGAAGTGAATCCTTTGCAACCCGATGAAGTGCTGTTAAATTGTCTCGTGGATACCTGCGTTCGAGCAGGGTACTTCCAGAAAGCGCTGGAAGTGGTGGCATGTATGGAAGAGAAGGGCATTCCAGCCAACAAGACGAAATACAAGCGCATCTTTATTGAACTCTACTCCAATCTCTACACGGGCAAGCACGCTTCCCAGAGACGTCGTGACAGGTCTGAGGAGAAGCGGGATGCTGTGGAAGCGTTCAAGTTCTGGCTTGGCCTACCGAACAAATACTACAGTGCCGACGATTGGAAACCTTCGCCATAGTCTTCATCGTCGCAACAAGTGTGAAGCCGCCGACCATCTAAAGTTTGGTGGGGATCGAGGGGCTTGTAATCTGGAAGCTTTCAAAAGTGGGCACCATCTTATAACTCCTGGCAGATGATTGTAACCTTAACTGTAGTAGATCAATCCCACGATTCATTCCCACAATTCTTTATGTAGATGCACAGCACCCCATAGGTTTCTTATTAGCTTTCTGTAGGTGTACAATACAAGATCATGAGACACCGTTGCCACGATGTTCAGAAACCCATCCGCAGCTAGCCTCCGCTTGTAAAATCGTCTTTTCTGTGGTCAGTAGGCTAACCGAGACCCATAACACACACACGAACACACACACGGATACCAAGGACAGTTTTCTATGTTGAACGACCGTGAAGAGAAGCACCCCTTCACGAAACCGTTACATTTAATGAATGATTCTTGCACTTGCAGGATGTACCATGATGGATAGAAATCAAAACAATATTATGTTTCTACTTCAAGTGTACTTGGATACAGTCGGTTTTGCTTCGCAACGGTGATTGCGTATGAAAGGCTAAACAAGAACAGAACCCATCTGCAGTTGTGGCACACACCATACGCGTCGGAACTCACGATATAACCCATATTAGTTGCCGAAGGGAAGCATAGACTTTGGGTATATATCACGGGTGTGCGACTAACTCGTCACTTACCTGGGCGGGGTCTATCCATGATCAGGAAGGTGGATGGCCTGGAGAAGCCTGCCTCATTGCACAACGAGCCGGGTAACTCTAGTATCTTCCTACGGGAGGCATACACGTCATAATTTGTGGCAGCGGGGGCTCGCGTTCGCGCGGCCCCCACCAATTCAATCTTGAATTAGGACAAATAAACTCTCATAACGAACCGATTAGTCCCTAATGTAACTATCTTAACCCAGTTGTCAGACAAACGTGTGGGCATCAAGTTTGTGTAGAAAAAGCACTGAGGAGGATAAAAGTTGTGTCTCCTACAAACGGTCCTCAACTGTCTGGCAAGTGTTAACCCTAACTAGGGTTATAGGAATTGAAATTTGTCTTTTTATATAGTAATTACTCTGTAGGTCTTCGTGATCGGAGGTGCTCTATACAAGAGCTGATTGATTGACAGGAGTTGCTTGAGCAGACTAGAAAAGAGCTGAAGAATACGACTCACGTTGCAAGCTTCAACCACGGCAATATTTCCAGTTTCTGGATAGCACCAGAATTATTGAAAAGGCATGGTGCGAGCTCACTATTACAGCTTAGCTAATTGAGTTCTAATCTTTTGTGTTACAGTGTAGGTCTAACCGTGTTTGATGGAAAGAGGAATATTGCGAATAAATTATTTTTAAGTTTGTATGTCACTACCAAAGAACTGGATGTTGGGTGGGATTGCAGGGAGATGTAGAAAAAGCACTGAGGAGGATTCTCAACCAGAAGGTGCCCATTCTTTTCAAATAACAAACGGATACTCTAGCGTTCATTAATAAACATAGAAGTTCCGTTCACAAATTTTGTGTTCGTTATGCAGGATATCATAGGTCTTCTCCTTATTGACCAGGATGGCAACATCTTGCGAAACACTATACCTGTGGTATGAGAACTTACCCATCAAACATGCTCACAAGGCTGCTCCTCTGAAACTGTGCTAGGATACTACATCTGCATTAAGCTTTCATATGTGGATGACTGGCAGGAGCATGCAGAGAAATATACAACAGAAATCCCAGCATTGATAATAATGGTACGCAGTGCAGTTCGAGAGATAGAATGCAAAGAAGACCTGACGATGATGCGCATTAGGAGCAGGAAACATGAGATGATGATAGTTGTGGACGAAAAATTCACCCTCATGGTTCTTCAAGAGTATCCCGGATTTTGGATAGAGCCACCCCCTCTACCTCCTACCCCTCAAAGGGACTCAGACGATGACTATGATAACGATGATGAATAAAATCGGAGACCATAAAGCAGTTGAACCAACCATCGCATTTCAGATTCAATTGGAACATCTGTGTTTTCGAGACCACTGCGGCGTGATATAAGCAAGCTCATTAATTGACGCTCAGTTTACTGCCTTAAACCTCAGACCTTTTAAATTCTCCGATTCACCACCTTTTCAGTGATAAATTTGTAATAACAGCGCTTTCCATAACTTCAGGGATCTGAGAGCTGACTTAGGCTCTAGGTGACGAGTTGATTGGGTTCAGAGAATAGGTACCGGAGGAGGACACCCACCACCGCCACACTTAAGCTATTCCCAAGCAATGCGTATCTGACCACACATGCAGACATAAGATTAAAACATTTGCAGTATCAGATCATCATGGTTGTGACTTCTAGAAAGTGCAAAAGCTACGATGATAAGCACACTTGATGAAAATAAAAATTACCTTTGCTTCAAACTCACTTGGCTTGGAAATGAGAACTCCGGAGGAAACGAATGAAGATTAGCTACCTGCCAAATAAAAATTTCATGAATTGAGTACGTTGAACATGTAAAAGTACCTCCAGCATCTCCAGCTTCAACTAATTGTGTAAGGTTCAATTTATTTATTTTTAAAAGAAAAATTTTAATTTTTAATTTTAGAATCAAATAGTAAAAGATGTCCAATTTTTAAAAAATTAACATTTTTAACTTAAAAAGAAGAAGGCGACGAAGAAAGGCGACACTGTCGAAAAGAAGCACGAACAGAGTAAAAAGCATTAACAGGAACCACACTAACGTAGCTCACCTCTCTAGGAGTAAAGTAGCGTAATCCAAGACTATTAAGAGAAACCCCTTCAGGCAAATCTTGGGTCATGAGCGCTTTCTGAAATTTGATTCCATCATTCCAGACATTCTGCAATGAATCAGACTTATTAGACTTAGCAAATTTCAAACCAATACAGCAGTTGACAGTAATCTCAGTTGCTGTTTTGCAACCAATTTATCCAAATGAAAGATTGCACATATCAGGTCATTATCCACTAGCAGAAGTTTACCTTTGTCGACAGTACGGAGCCAGTACCCTTTGCGTATGACCCATAGCTTTTGGTGAAACAGCAGCATCTTTTGGAGTCCTTGGTAACCATATCTGGTGCAGATTATTGAAGTTCACTGGATCAGAGTTTTTTCAAAATTAATTTATTCGACTTAGATGCTCTCACATCGATAATTAAACTGTGCAACTTGAGCGGTACGGAGTTACAACACCATCTACTCAACCTCTAATTATCCCTTACCAGTAAAGAAGAGATTGTCAGAACATAGTATCACACTGTAATCAACTGCTTATTACATGAGCCTTGAAACCGATCGGATCCACTAAATGATAATATCCCAGAACTGCTGGAAATAGTTCGTGATACTCTACAACATTATGGGAGAATAATGTTATTAAATTAAAATATTCAAACGATGAAGTCCAGAAGATATACCGAAACAATCACCCCATCGCTCCAAAACAGATGATGGCAACTTGTAAAGCTCCCACTTGTCAGCACACATGTTCATGTCAAAGCATTTTCCTTCATCTTCAGATCTTGTAATCACCGCTTCGCTCTCTAAAGATTCATAATGATCTCCAATCAATTTTCTCAGCAAAGGAGGTGCACCCAAGTTATCCGACGTGCAGGGTTCTTCTTCCATGAAATCACTCACGGGTCTACAGTAAACACCTGGATCGATAATAGGTTCGTTCATCTTCAACAGTGGCTGCCTCCGGAAGGAGTGCTGGCTACCTTCACTGGTCTCAACAGCTGTGCTTAAAACAGTAGGCAAAATTTTGGAACTTTGCTCCTCAAGTATGCTACTCTTGTCCTCAAGTTGCAATTTTACGAACTCAACAAGAGGCCCTAACTCACAAAGTAAAGAGTTATTGTAAGCAGGTTGAACGAAACTCTTGGGCTTTTTCTTCGCCTGTATCATTCCAGGTAATATTTTCATCAGGTTCTCATAGTATTCACAGTAGAAATTGGAAACAATTCTGCAAAGTCGCAACAATGGTTAACAAAAGATTGTCAATACCAACATAGAACGTCTATCACTGCGCTACTGCTGAGGAACGAATCTACTTACCAAGCAAAAATAACGCGGACGAGAGTATGGGATGCCCAGTTGCAGTGGGCTGAGGATGAATTCTTGAGTCATAAAACCCAAGTCTTCAAACATGTCAATGAGGTGACCATGCGTGATTGAATCCTGCATTCAAATGGGTTAGGCACTTGAAAACGAAACTTTGAAAGCAACATCGTTTCCGCGAATAATAAGAAAAATCTACGGCATGTATTGCTTGAATACAGTGTGTACTTTGTTCCCAATCTTTTGCAGGCTTGATCTTTAGAGAAAATTCTAAGACTTTCGAAAAGACGATGGAGTTTCAAGCGAGTCCATGCTGACCTCAAATCCAACAACGTTTTCAACTAGTATATAATTTGGAGGAAATTTCATTTGAGGAAGCATTTCAAGCATCTGGAGAAATGAAAAAGCACGAGCATCTCCAGCATCCTTTCGTAAGCCTGCAACCTTCTCAGATCCCGAGGAGAAATGTTATGAAACATCAACTGCTTGCCAGGATTCAGTGTAAGAATACCCTCATGTGTTCTCTTGGACACTTTCAAGACCCCGATCTATGATCAGAGCGTTGTATACTTCATAAAATGAGATTAAGTGTATTCTTAGCCATACAGTTCAGGATATCCCAATTTAATCCCCTCGTTTAGAAAATAAGACCAGATAAAAAGTCCCCGCAGAGGAGATCACTGAACTACAACGTGACAACACATATTTAAGCAAAATAATGCTCCGCAATACATAAAAATGGGTCAGAAACGAAAGCCAACAACAGCAAAGGAATTCACCTTGCCGAGTGTAGGGTTGGCACGGCGGAGACATTATCCACGTGTCTGCCTTGTATGCATCCAACTGACTTACAGTCAACCGCTGGATATTTCTCTGTAAACCCATCACCTCGTTAATAACAGGGATAATGCAGAAAAAACTTAAGCTAAACATGATAATTAAGTACACAGACTGAGCTATAATGGAGGTTGCTCAAATGCACCAGACCACAATCTCAGATAGAAGGGCGGATGGGAATGTTTCCTTGAGAGAATCGTCCTATTGAAAAAAACTCAGAGCAAGCATTGGTGTTTGCACAATATTTATGCCATATTGCACTGTCTAACCTTCTGAGAATCCCAAACATCATATATGAAAGCCTAAAAGCACTCACCTGACTGGGGCGGTGTCCAAAGTTATGCTCATATACATCATTGGCAACCTCATTGATATCAAAAGCCTCCACGACCACTGCCTCCACGCCCGCTTCTTGCAAAGAATACCTCTGCAACAAATTGCGTTGCGCTACTAAACCTTGATAATGATTTTTTTTGAATGAATTTCACTTAAATTAAATCAACACTTGCTCTTTGTTCCTGAACAACCATCCTCTTAAACTTTCATCATAGATTTGTTTTTAAAAGCCAAAAAAAGACTACACGTTACAAGTCCAACTGTAAGCACTGGCCTGTTTAAAGGAAAAGGTTTTCGAAATTAAACTCCTAAGCCTTGCGTGGGTTGAAGCAGGTTCTTTTTGCTGTTGGAGCTAGACAAACGGCATTTACCAGCGTTCAGTTAACGTATTAACGTCTAAACCCTAAACCCTGAATAAATAACCCATCAAGATGTTTGGCCTAACCACCCCAAAAATGAAATTTAACGCACTTAGTCCCGAACGCAAGCGCCTCAGCATAAACTTTCACATTTAATACAACAATTTATACACTAAATATGTTTTCAGAACGTTTACGTAATTGCACAACCCTGGACTCAGCAGTAAGCCACTGAATTAGAAGAGAAAAAACCGAAGAGAAATACGTACGAGTCCGCCTATACCGCTGTAGAACTCGAGAACCCGCATCGGGCCTTCCAAGTCCGCCATCGCCACCAGCATTCCCCGCAAATTGCAGCCGCACAGACCTCGCCGATCGCAACCTCCAAGTCACCGAACTGGATGAAGAGCACGGAGAAGAAGCAGAACGCCGCCGAAAAATAAGCCCAGTTGGAAATGCCAACTCTGCAATACCTTCCACGTCGTTCGCCAGCTACGATGTTTTTCAGAGGTTCGGGTTTCCGCCTAGTTGGCAATGCCAACTCTGCATAATCTTCCACGTCACTCGCCGACTAGAATATGTGCTCAGGCTCAGCAGTCGTTTTTGAAACGGCAGTGGGGGTCATGGGTAGTTTTCATGAGACTTGGCTGGTGCCCGGAATCTTTACTTTTAGTATTTTTATATTTTGGAATATATTTATTAAATGAATGCACTAAAACGGCAAATCCATTCGTAAGATGATTACTTCAGAATGATTTTTCGTTATAAATTACACAAGTTTAAAATATATAATCAATTTTAGATGGATTTAGGGTTTGAGTCATTTTTCCTTTTATTACTTTAGATAACAGACGTTAATGGTTAAACAATTACTTAAATATTTTTCTTTTTTGCATCTAAAATCCAAGGGCAATGGTAGATGTTTTGTTTTTACTACAATCATTGAAAACAATATTCAAAACTTGTAAGTAATCGGAATTTTTATAGAGTGTCAAATACTTGAAAACATTTTGTAAAATCACTAATTGATTTAAATTGTGTGTGAGAAGTTAGAGCATTAACATGTAAATCTTTATAAATATAAATAAATATATATATAATATTATATACTATAATACATAATTTTAATAAATTTAAATTTATTCTAAAGTGTCTCAAACTTTCTATGGGCAGTGAGAGGGTAATGGATTGAAAAAAATCTAAATTAATATAAATTATGTGAGATTAGAGTTCAATATTAGCATTTGAGAAGATTGGTGCCAATGGTTGTAGATTGTAAGTTTGATCTTAAGGTTAATTCTAACTACATACGAAGTACATTGTTTTTATGATATTGATATTTTGACATCTCTTCTTAGTGCTTAATTGTTTCTCCTTAGACCTCATCCATCTCTCACTATGGCCCTCTTAGCCTCCACTTTCCTTAAGACAACACATTTCCAATAATTTAAATATTGGAGCATATATCCAATAAGTGTAAAAATAAAAGAAAAAGAAACACCTTCATAAAAGAAAATAGTAATCAAAAAAAATTTAAGTATTTTCACATAATTTTATTTAATAACAAAAATTATACAAATATATTAACCAATGATTTTTTTTAATCCATTTTGGGCATATTGACCTAGTTAATTCCAATAGATAAAAGGCTATAAAATCAAGAATCCAATTTTTATAAAACAATGATCTATGGAACCTATTAATGCTATTAAGAAAAATGTGATATCTAAGTATACTAGCAATTCATTTCAAATGATTAAGAACTACCACTTATTAATAGTTCATTCAAACTCATTCCAAGTATAATGAATTTTATTTATTGCTTGCAGCTTAATATCATTTTAGCCAATTTATGTCATATTTTCAATCAATGCAAATGGATTTTTTTTGATTGGTGTCACATTAAGTTGTTGGACTAACAAAAGTAATCCACTAACTTAAACATTTTCACGGACATATGCATGTAATGTCAAGGACAAAAACTCGATGAAAGCTAAAGAGTAAGTGAGACTTTTCTCAAAAAGAAATAGGACAAAATAGAAATATGTATATTAAGAAAGAAAGTGGAATGGCTATTGCCAAAATACAAGAAAACTAGAGACCCTTGAAACTAGACTAGAAGCAAGAAAGGAGTTGACAAGAGTGAAGAGGGCTTCACTCTTGCCTCTATATATACTATCTAACTAGAAGCCACGTGGCGATGTTCTATAAGACCTCCAATATATGTTGACTTTCTAGGCCACATGCCTTTGCTTGCAAGGCAAGTTTTCTATGGATGGACCACGTAGTTAGCTTGTTTTTTAAGCTTCCAACATGTGTGGCACATGGCTAACTTGTTGACCAAGTTTCTAACCTAAAAGTCAACTATAGACTCCTATAAAGTCAAAGCAGCGTCTATGAAGCTTCTAAGAAGCTTCTCTAGAAGATATTACACAATTAACCTACTTTTATCTACTTTTACATACTTTTATCTATTCATATAGGTAATTATATGTATGTCCGTGACATTACCCCCCCTTCTAGGGACGAGTTCCACGAGGAGCGACGATTATATATTGAGAAAATCTAATATGCGGCGAATTGTATTTGCTACATACTCTGATCTTTGTTCTCTTCGAAGATAGTTGATGGGTCCTCTTAGCCATCGATAGTGTCCCATTCCAGGGCGAGAAGCCCACCCTGTTATTTGATCACTGTTGAGGCCTTCATAACTTCCTTCAAATAATACATTTGAAACACCATCAGGAGTCGTTCCTATCTCCAATAATATCACCAAACATCGAGAATCTCTTCCAAGGTCGTGATACCAAACGCGTTGTATCTCACCATCTATTCGAGGAAGAACATGTCGTTCTTGAGGATCTTCATCTCGGTTGCGTCGTCTTGAAGGTTGTGACAATCGCAATGTCTCATCCGGTAAGTCAGCAAACGAAGGTTCTTGAGTTGAATCCGCTGGTTGTTGGCTCTCCATCTAATTAGCGTCACAAATGCAAAGAAGTTACAAACAAGGATAGGAAATTGAATGTTATCTTGCCTCAATCTTGTCTCTTTTATAAGAGAGGTTTTCATCTTGGTTTTGATGGATGTCGTTGATGAAAAACTTTGACTTTAGCTAATGCATTTGCTAGATTCCTGGATGGCTCCCATGTGCACTCACTAATATCATATCCGCGCCAATGAATAAGATATTCTAGCTTATTTCGGTGCCGCCTTGAGTCTAATATCTCTTCCACCTCAAATTCTTCATTATTATCTACTTCTATAGGAGGCGGTGGCATTTGTCTTCTTCCTTGTATATCCACTGTCTTATATGGTTCAAGAAGAGATACGTGGAATACAGGATGGATCTTCATTGACTCCGGTAGATGTAACCGATATGCAACTAGGTTGATCTGTTCAGAAACAGAAAAGGGGCCAAGCCTACGATAGTCCAATTTGTCACAAGGTCGAGTGGTCTTGATATTGCGACGAAGTAGCCATACCTTATCACCCACGTTGAGTTGTGGTTGCTCTTTACGATATACATCTGCATTTATCTTTTGTCGTTCTTGAGCTTTCTTCAATTGCGCCTTCATTATTGCATGTAACTCTGACAACCGATTTGTCATATCTTCTGCTGCAAGATTATCAACTTTTGAAAAATCAAAAGTATCAAGTCGTGGATGATAGCCATAATTGGCAAAGAAAGGTGTTTGTTGCGTGGAAGAATGTACCGTATTATTATAAGCAAACTCTGCCAATGGCAGAAGGTTTGTCCAATCATCTTGTTGGTAGTTGATGGTACACCTTAAATACTGTTCCAAGACTTGGTTTACGCGCTCTGTTTGTCCATCAGTTTGAGGATGGAAAGCTGAAGATAGCTTTATGTCCACTTTTAAAATCTTGAAAAGAGTCCTCCAAAATCTCGACACAAATTGAGTTCTCCTATCCGATATGATATCTTTAGGTAATCCATGATAGCGATAGATATTATCAATGAAAAGCTTAGCTGTTTCTTCACCTGTGATAGATTTTGTACATGGCATAAAATGTGCCATCTTGGTGAAACGATCTACTATCACAAATATAGAATCATAAGATCTTGAGTTTGGAAGATCTGTGATGAAATCCATAGAAACAGAAGACCATGGTTGTTCTGGTATAGGTAATGGCTGAAGAAGTCCGTAAGGTCGATGTCAAGGAATTTTTGATCTTGAACAAATATCACATGATTGTACAAAGTCTTTGACTGACTTCCACATTTGTGGCCACCAAAAATCTCTTGATATGAGTTCCAGAGTCTTATTATATCCAAAGTGCCCTGCTGCTGGAAAGTCATGACGTGCTTGAAGAACACGCAAACGTGCTTTTCCTTCTGGAACATATAGGCGTCCTTCAAAATATAATAGATTATTCTTGAACTCGAACTTAGAAGAATCATGAGACTTGAAAGAATTATTCTCGATATCATGAACAAGAGGGTCTGAGGACATACTGGACTGGATTTGCTTGAGAAAAGTTGAATCAACAGTCAATGTTGATTTCATTGCTCGGAGATGAAATTGCTCCGGTTTCAAGAGGACCGTTCTTTGTTGCTCAAAAGCTGCATCTCCTTCTTTTGGTGCAAAATAAGAACGTCTAGACAGGGCATCGGACAAACCTTGTTGTTTTCCTGGCCGATAAGTGATAATGAAGTCGAATCTTGACAAAGACATACTCCAATGAGCTTCACGACGATTCAACACGCGTGCTGACATGAAATACTCGAGGTTCTTGTGATCTATATACACAGTGACTGGACTAGAAGCGCCTTCTAGATAATGACGCCATTCTTAAAAGGAATCCACGATTGCAAGAAGTTCTTTATCGTGGATCTCATAATTGATCTCGGCTGCTGAGAATTTTCTTGAATGAAAAGCTATCGGATGAAGTTTGTCATTTGTTCCCATTTGTGATAAAACTGCACCCAAGGCAAAATCCGATGCGTCTGTTTCCATAAAAAATACCTTGGAAAAGTCAACACGATATAAGACTGGTGCAGAGACAAACGATGTCTTCAAGGCTTCAAATGCTGCTTCCGCTTCTTGATTCCATTGGAATTTATCTTTACTAGTCAAGCGTGTAAGTGGAGCTGCAACTCGTGAGAAGTCTTTGATGAAGATCCGATAGTAATTGGCAAATCCCAAGAAACATTGGACATCTCTTACAGTCTTTGGAATCTTCCAATCCATGATTGTTTGGACTTTCTTAGAATCCATCATAAGACCATCATTTGAAATGATGTATCCTAAAAAGTCAACTTGAGTAGTGTGAAATACACACTTTTCCATCTTGGCGTACAATCCTGCATCTCTGAGTTTTTGTAATACTTGACGAACATGTATTTCATGTTCTTCAACATTCTTAGAATAAATCAGGATATCGTCTAGGTAGCAGACGACAAAATTGTCTAAGAATTCACAAAATAC